AGATTTATTGTGGATAATAATATAATAAACAATGCATTATTCTGTGATATCTGAGATAACTTTGAGTATAGGACTGATAATGTGTCAAATATCAAAACAAAGTAAGGGCTATAATAATTTTTTGATAGATGAAGCATTTTCAAAACATGTTCAGTTGGGCTAGTCGTTTTAAATTGAAATCCATACTTTAGAAATGTAAAAATTTTATCCAAAGCTTTTGATGAAGAATAAAGTTTATATATATATATATATATATGGGATCTCAAAGCATTGACGATTAAGATATTTGTTAAAAAAAAAAACTCCACGTTATTTAATTTTTCTACATATTATAAAAAGGTATAAACGTCAATTAAAATATCTGTTGATTGGATTGGAATTTGACTGGATTTTTGGGGGAGAGTGAGAGCAAGATTGATTGCAAACATTGTAGTGAGTAATTTTCATTGTATTGACCACAATTAATCACATCAAAATTAATTGATTAATAATACTTTCTCTTTCTTTAAGTTTATTTATTAATCTGCGCTAGAACTAAGGTGATCAAGGAAATGTCTCCATGATGAACTTTCTGGACCACGATGCCAATTACGATGTCTTCATTTTTCAAATTTTGTTTTGATAGTGGTGTTGATCGTGATAAAGACTATCAGGTGTTGTCAAAAAGTATTATCCTCTGGATGCTGAAAAATAAAACGTGCCTCCTTTTTGCAGTTGTTGTGCAATGAAAAATTTAGCCGTACGTCGTCGAATAATGCAGTGAATGATTTCTACAAGACTATCACTTAAAGAAGCGAGATAATTAGTAACCATATCAATCATTGGATGATTTGTCTCCATCCAATAAGAGATATCAAGATTTGTGATAAATCGGTCATTGAGATGTTTCATAATCAACTCATTATCAAAGATTTTTGGATTCAATGCACCATTACGTGGTATTGTTGACATATTGGGACATAGATTTGTTACAATAGTAGCCATATGCACCACTCAAGATGTAGTGATAGTATCAGGTTGACTCTGGATGTGAATGTCAACATTCAACATGATGCATTTTTTGAATATTTTGTAAGTGCATTCTCTACATACTTCTCATGTTCATGAAGATATTTATTGATAATGATGGGTTGACTTGAATATAAACATCAATTTGAGTTAACATAGGTCTTGGTTCCTCGATGGTGTTAATATGACAAAGGATCTATATATACGATACCAATAAAGTTTAGTCAGTGACTAGGCTACTTCATATAGGTGAATAATAATTAATTAATTAAATTTAAAAATAATCATTTGGTAATTAAGATTAATTAATACTAACCGTTATTAAATTTTTAATCAGTGTGAAATAGGGTTAGTAGTACAAAAGAGACTGGTAGTCATTTTCCTAATGATTCATTTCATTAACTAAACTGTCTTAAATAGCAGCATAGCCGGCTAATAAATAGTTTAACAGATTAATGCTAATAAATGACTTGGCTAATCGGTTAACATCATCATCAGATATACGTTATTTCTTGATAATGATATGGACATGGCAGGAAAACAAAAAAATATATTATGGTATATAGTACAAAAATAATAATTTTGGGGTCCCTATATTCTCCTATTTGGAAGTTGATTTTAGAATGATTAAAATTGTAACCAGAATTGGGTAGATTATTTGATTGATACATTCACTTTAGTTCTTCTATGAAATAATAATGGTGAATAACGTGTGAGTCGTGCATTGTAAATAATCTAGATTTTTTTAAATAAAATGATATAACAAGGTTACGTCGCTTAAATAAAAAAAGATGATGTCGGTTTTTCATCATTTTTTTTTCATCAACCAACCAACATGTGAATTGAATATTAATGAAATCATTTATTTTTTTTTTTAAATCTAAAAATCTTATATAAATACTAGCATCTTTTGCTTCACACACACAAAAAAAAATTAATATTCACATACTACAAATACAAATAAAGACACTAATAATAAAAACATTAATTGCAATAATAAAAATATTGATGGTGAAAATAATGATGAAAAGCTCTAGGTAATCAATCAAATAACACTTTACAAAACCAAAATATTATATTTTATTGCAATTTCCAATTAATTAATTTGTTATTATTCTTTTTAATATATTTGCAGTAGACACTCCTTCACATTCATTTTCTCCTCAACATTAAAATTAACATCATCAGTATCGTCAACATCAATTCTCGCTCTTCCTCTCATCATCATCATCATCCTCCTTCCTCCTCTTCATCGTTGTCACCAACATCACTGTAATCCTCCTACACACACACACACACACACCGCACACCTTTAGTTAGGTGTATTATGAGGAGAAGTATATATGTTTAGGTTGGAGCATTGCTTTAATCTAAAGGTCAAACTAAAGGAGTGTGAGCAGCAATGGAAGGATTATCGCCAACAACAACAACTAACCCGGAAAACCCTCTCCAACACAACCAAGGAGAAGTGAAAGAACAATAATAATAATAATAATGACAACCGGCACAAGGTAATCAATCAATTAACAAACATTGCGAACGAACACTTGCAAAATCCAAAAATATTATATTTTATTGATTATAATTACTATTGCCGACTAATTATTTTCTTATTATTTTAATATACATGTAACAGAGAAGCTCCTATTGTTGTAGACACGCCTTTCCCATCACCATCACTACCGTCATAACCACAACATCACCACACTCCTCCTCCTCGTCATCACGCTCCTCCTACTCCTCCTCGTCACCGTTACCACTAAAGGCTAATGCCGTAAATTATGGTGATGGTAGTAATTGTACCTTTGCAACCATACTTTTTCCTTTTTTGATTACGGCACTAGTCTTTAGTCACCACACTCCTCCCCCTCCTCGTCACCACACTCATTTAACACCAACCCCTCGCCAACCTACTCTTCCTCCCCAATTCCCTTTGATACCTCGGCCTAGGTGGGCATTTCCAACAGGTATCCCGCCAAGGTCGAGGGAGACGATGGAATTGGCGAGGTTGCGTATGTTGGCGAGGGAGGAGCACTGGAGGCTTTACTCCCAACAACAACTAGCCTTAGGAGTTGAGTTGAGCCCGCCACCACCCGACATCCACCACCACCAACAACAACGCCTCCGCCAACAACAACAACAATAGGAGCTAAAAAAAATAAAAAAATAAAAAAATAATAATAATAGTAGTAGTAGTAGTAGTAGTAATTTTAATTTTTAATTTTTTTTTTTAAATTTTAAATTTTTTTAATTTTTATTCTTTTAATTTTTAAATTTTTTAATTTTCATTTTTTAAATTTTTTTTTAATTTTTAATTTTTAATTTTAATAATATATGTATAATTTCATCTGAAATGTGATTTATAAATTTATTATTGTAACCATTTCTTAAATAATAATAGTCATATATTAGTTAATTACTATCACATCAAGATAGCAATAACATGAATTTTATTAAAGCGACTTGATTTATACCATATCAAGGAATATCAAGTTTTGTTAGTGTTGTGTGAGAGAGAAGAGATCTTATTTACTTTTTAACATCAAAAATGATTAAAGTTGAAACTCGTTAGAGGAAAAGGCCTTTTACTTTTTTATATAGCAATTTAACCCTATTATTGAACACTTTACAGATAGTTTTTTTTACAACAACTACCATCACATATGATTG